CATACTCGAACGCTGTAATGACGATACCGGTATTCTTGGCACGTAACATGTTCATGAGCCGCTCGTCGTTTAATATTTTCTCTCGGAAGTTGGTGCAGAGATAGAAATCAACGTCGAGCATCATTACATAGTCGGTGCGGGCGAAGAATTTAGCAACGTTGCGCCACATGTTGAATTGACGGTCGAACTTGTCTATTACGAGATGGACATCGACATATTTCGTCATTAGCGGATTGTTGTGGTAGAGGTCGTTCAGTTGAGCTAGGAGCGCATTGCGTTTACTGGGTACGTCATTAACGTGTATCGTCACGGATATTGGGCCTAATGAATGAGAAAGGATGAATGTAAATTTTTTGACGGGCAGAGGGAGAAACCATGTATGAAAGCAACTATTTACCTTTGTAGTGATTGACAAGTCTATCAAAAACCGGAAACCTATTAGCCGTAATAAGTGTGGTTATTGTAATATCCTCTTTCTGTGGTGTTCCTTGGGCACGGAAATAGTATGGGATCACTTGTGTGGGCTGTAGCGATTCTGCAAACACTTTTGACAGGAAGAACTCTTCTGTCATTACGTCTTGCATACCTATTAGAGAGATAAACGATTTAGTGAACTATGAACGATGTAATTAAACAGAATATATTTCCATTCTGTCGTTAACTTTTCATTCTCCGCCTTTCCCCTCTCTCCCCCTCGCTTCTCTTTTGCCACCCTCTCGTTTATATAGACTTACCCCCCCACTTGATAGTATCTTTGCCAGAGATTGAATGTAAGCTAAAACTATTTTCAGTGAATAAAATGTTAATGCTAGCCAACTCATAGCGAGTGGGATAGCGAGCTGTAAGTCATACAAATTATCCACACGAAGAATTGTCAGAGCTGAGATAGAATGTTTGTGGAATTTCTCAATCTCTTCTGATTGGACACTAAAAATACAGTTATAGTGCTTGAGTCCACTTAATTGATTTAGCTCAGCATACAATAAATAGAAAGAGCGAATAATAATGCGAGGATTGCGTATATTTAGCGTCTATTTTATCTTTAGTCACACAAGCAAAGTTTTCCGTTAATTAAAGTTTTTTGCTTCATCATTGCGTAATCGTAGATTCGGCGTCACTTACTGATTAATACTCTAACCAGCTAAAATAAATTAAGAATAAGTTAAGACAAGCACACGCTCTGACAGCCATTTATGGTTTTTATTTAACATGTGTGATCTAAAATGTAACGGACAATCGTATGTGTGGATGACAGGAGGGAGATAACTTTAATTGTAGGATGCATGTTTTATTATTATGACTTTTAAGTGTGGGGGAGGTGGGGGGAGAGGACGTTGTGGACAAAACGCCATATACTATTTTTAAGGCTAATTTTAAGCCACATCGGTCATTGTGCAGAGGAAATTTCGGAATAAAAAGACGAAAATCGGGATTGGACAAACGAAAGCAACAGAAACGGCTATTAAAAATTTCCATGTGAACGTTGGGAGATAATCGTGCATGTGGAAAGTGATATAATGAAGTTCACGTAATACAAGATGACGCATTGCGCAATCCATGAACTGGATGGAGACTGTTAATTGAAACATATTAATTTCGTAGTGGTGGTAAGAAAACCAGCTAACGTTATTATTATTGACAAAATTTTAATTCTCTTTTGCCAAGTCATCTATTTTCGGTTAAGTTGGTATTAATAGTAACATTCAGCACCGATGTTGCAATTGTTATATCTCAGGGGTCCAGTCGCCCACAATCAACGCGAGAAAGCAATGATCCTATTAAAAAAACATATTCATAATTGCTTTCTGCTTGTCACAAGAATGCTCGGTATCAAGCATAAACTATGAATTTATCGGGTTGCAATTTTTACTTTCGGTTTTGTTAAACCATCAGCAGATGATACCCGATTTTGTTATCAAGTTAACGGGTCATACAAGTTTTTTGTGTTTGGATAAATAAAAAATTTTTTGTTATTGACAACCCCACAAAAGGGTCCGGCCCGTCATGTGCACCCATACTTTTGAAACACAAGCGTACAATTATTTTCGTAATTACCGAATATATCTAAGAACTTGTTACGGTCGGGCGAAACCCCCCCCCCCCCCCCACCCACAACACAAACAACAAAAAAAAGAGGCGAGAAAAAAAACAGGTTATCCACCAACCGCCGGGTGTGCCCCCCCGGTCTTTTTTTACTACTATCC